GGGGAATGATGGTGGCCTCCGTTACCTCAGGTCTGTGACAGCAGACCCTCGGGTGGCTGCCCTGGTGGCAGCGGGGTTGCCTCTTGGCCCATGGAGGGTGCTGGGGGCTGTGGTGAGGGGCTGCTCTGGCCCATAGCTGTGCCCTCGCCTTTGGAGAGCCCCACGTGGGGGTGAGTGCCCTTTGGAGGGCCTGGAAGGTGTGAGGATGGTGGTAAGCGGCCATGCTCCAGGGGCCGTGCAGGTTTTGGGGAAAGCTATGTGACAGCAGTGTTTGGGGGTTCCCCCCCCCGCCTCCAGAAGTGGAGCCTGTGCCAGGAGGGCTGCCTGCTGGCAGACGGTGTTTAATATGCTGCCCTCAGCCTGGTGCAAGGAGCATGGTGGCCATGCGGCTGCCTGGGGCACGCTTGTTGCTGTCAGGCCTCGCTGCCTATGTCCTCTGACAGGGCACCTGGGGCAGTGGCTGAGTTGCTGCCGGAGAAGAGCAGCTCCTCTGCATGCGAAGGCACATTTTAGGGGGCAGAGCTGGCACTTCTGCTGGCAGTACGGGAGAACCTGGGCTTCTCACCTTGCTCTCTAGGCAGCTTTTTACCTACTCCAACCATCTGTGTCCAGGCCAAGTTATACGGGTGTGGGGGAAAGGGGAGCCCTCTTGCCTTAATACATCCTTTTGGATTAAAGGTTGGGCAGTGTCTCAGCTGGTGGAGCTGGACTTTGCTTTGCGGTGCGGCTCTCGCAGGCAGGGCTCAGGGTGGAGCGAGCAGGCGCAGGGCACCGACATGCTGCCTTGTGGGCTCTGCCCTGTCCACCCAAGCTGATGGTCTGCAATCCACTCTGGTGCTGTGGCCCCAGGCACTGGAAACAGCAGTCTGCTCTGGGATCTCCAGCCTAGCTCTGTCTCCAGCTTTGGTTGTCTTGGCTCACTCAGGAGCAGCTTTCCAATGTGCAACCAGCTTTGCAGCTGGGAGAATTTATGATGTTAGTTACAGAGACACTCCCTCTTTTTCCCTACCCCTAAAACTTCTTGTAAATCTCCTGTAAACTTAAAGGAACTCTTTGGAAACAAGAACTCCTTGCACTGGATGACTTCTCATGTTGAAACTCAGAGCTGAATTTTGGCCAGAACTGCCCTTTTCCTGTAACTTAAGCCCCTCGTTTCCATGTGCTGGCACTGGCTGATGATCCTGGTCATGTATTCCAGCCCCTGGGAGGTCTGTGGCTGAGGTGATCTGGCAAGGTCCTTATTTCTGCCACATCCCAGTCTGCTTATTCCGGCTCGGGGAAGGGGGTTGGAGCAGAGCACGTGCTGGCAGACAGACAGTGATAACGGTGTTACGGCCCGGCGCAGAACACCCCGTCCTTGCTGTGCTCCTGGCTCCAGTGCCAAGCTGGTGTGACTTGGAAGAGGTTGCTCTCTGTGTCTGATAGAGATAGAGCTGTTTATCTAGTGGCAAAACCTCTTGCAAGAGCTTCCAATCTGGTAAGCATACTTCATTAATCCTTGAAAATCAGAGGATCCTAAAAAGGCCTCTGTCACAGGCTGCGGAGCAGAGCATGTGAAGCCGGGGCTGCTGGATTTCAGACTCAGGCTGTTACAGAAGCACTAAAAAAGCATATTCCCTCTCACTTTTCTATTCTCTCCTTGCGTCTGGCAATAAGTGCATCAGATTTACAGCTCTCTGCAGCTGTGACTGCACCAAGTCAGGATCATTCATACCAGCAGAGAAGCTGCTTGCGGGGTTGGAGGGGAGTAGGACCCATCTGCTTAACCCCGTGGATGATGTGGCCAGCTCAGCAGGGCCGCCGGTCACCTGGTTCTTCTTTAATTGCTCTGAGCTCTGCCCCTTTGCCTCTTTCAGTGGCTCAGGCCACATCTTGTGCAAGGAAATGCTGGTTCCTTACTGGCAGGAGGAAGTTGGATGGTTGCTCTTGAGTAATGTGTAACCAGCCTCTGCCAGCAGCTACCGAGTAGTGTGACTTCCAGAGCAGTGACCTCTTTTTTGGTTGGCAGTCAGAAGGGAGGAGAAGTGGGATTTAGGTCAGTCTGGTGGCATGGCATCCACCATGACCTCACCAATTCATGTCACCCTGCCTTTCCTTACCTGCCCCCTTGTCTCTTTACCTGGACTGCACTCCCGTAACCTCGGTGCAAGCCCGTGGTGCTTGGGAGCTCTGCAGCCTGGGCACCTCCCCATGTCCTTTTGTCCTTTTGTCCTTTCCCTGGGTGCAGCTCTAACCTTTGCAGCAAGTTTGAATGCCGGGAGACTGATAGCACTGGTGTCACTCAGCTCTGTCACCTGCGGGCGTTGGCCTGGTCTGAACTCTAGTGTCCAAGTCAGTGCCTGGGTGGTCTGTGTGGTGGGGCACCCCACAGAGAAACGAACTCCACTGTGGGTAGGAGCAAGCCAGCGAAAGTCACCTTGACGAAGGTGTGTGGTTGAAGAGCTGGTGGCAGGGGTGGGGATACTTTTGGAGAGCAGATGCTGGGAGCTGCTGCCAAGCCAGGATGAGATGCCAGCCAGGTGCTCGCCTCCCACCCTGGGTGACAGGGGTGCTTCCCAGGCTGGTGGTGCTGTGCCAGCCCTCTGTCTGGACCCTGTGGTGGGGGAGAAGCTGACACTGTCCCTCAGCCTTCTCCTGCAGGGAGGAAAGCTCTGTCCCCTGTCTGCCAGGGAGAAGGTGGGCCCTGAGGCAGGTGCCTGCTGGAGGGCAGGTCAGCTTCTGAATCGGCTCCTCTGCCTCCTGTCCTGGTGAATGGCTGCTCCCCTGCCCAAAATACCCCTGTGTGCTGCCAGCTTCTGGCAGCCAAAGGCTGCGTCCTTTGGCCCAGTTGGAGGGTCCCCAGCTCCCACCTGTTTGGGGGCGGTGTAGATGGGCTCTGTTCACGTGGGCTGGCAGGGTCTCAGCCGGCGAGCCTGGGCTGGGTGGGCTCAGCAAGGGCATGGCAGCCTGCTCTATGCGTTGGCAGGGCTGAGTGGAGCTGCTGGTGTCTCCTGCCAGCTGGGCCCCCAGCCCTTGGGCACAGGGGAAGAAAGCTGGGAGCTTTGTGGACAGACCTGTAGATCCGCCGGGGAAGTGAACTGACAGGCAAAAGCTCTTTGCTTGAAGTTGGGTTTGCCGGGGGGCCCCTAGCCTCTGCCAGGCTGCTTGGGGAGCATCCCGTTTGCTGCTTGCATCCTTGCATTGTACAGGGAAGTGTTTCTCACCTTTATTCTCCTCCTTTCTTGGACTCCCCTGGGGTAATGACACCCTGTGTTTGTTGTATCGTTAAGCAGCATCTTCCAGCACTGCAAGAGGGAGAATTGGCAGAGCTTTCCTTGGGCGATGGATGTGCAGGCTGATACCCGCATGCTGGCGAGCGGCAGCTCCTAGTAGAACCGTTTGAACAACTTGTGGGGCTCTCCTGATTGCAGAAGGAAAACCTTGGTAGCATCGGAGCAGACTACAGCCATGGCACAGGGGGAAACAAACAGCACTAAATGAGCAGGACTGGCAGCAGGAGGAGTGGTCCTTGATCCAGCGTTGAAACCAGCATCTCTCCCTGCTGGGCTTTGGAGGGCTTCCAGGTTTGCCCTCTGTTTGCAGGGCTCTTGCAGCTGCGCTAGGCTGGACTTGCCTCTTCTGAAGAGCCCATAGTGAGCCTGGTTGTGAGCAGATGCTGTCAACTTGAAGGAAGCATCGACCATCAAGTCTAGCTGTACCGGCCTCAAAGTTATGATCAGCTTCCCCTAGGCTTCCAGTAAAATTCCCACACTGGGAGTGGACAGGGCTTAGCATGCAACTGAAGCACTTTGAGCACATGAGACCATACAGGACAGGCACCTGGGTGGACCACAGGGCAAATGAGACTGGAGGCTCTCTGTCACAGAGCTCTTCTTATCTCCTTCCACCCACCCTGGGTATAGCAGACCCTGTCGCCCCCCTGCCCTGCTGCTGACTGCTCTTCTCTTCTGCAGAATCATCAAAACTGTGGTCAAGACCTTCAAGTATTTCTTTGGCCTGAGGTTTGAGGTGAAGGGACTGGAGAACTTTGAGGTGGAGGGCCCTGCTATCATTGTGTCCAACCACCAGAGCATGCTCGACATGATGGGTGAGGAGCTGGTGGGCGGGCGGGAGGGAGCAGTTGTCTTGCTCACTGTCAGAGAAATCCTGCTTGCATCTCCTGGCCAAGCAGCCCCCTGCGCTGGCCGGTCTGTGCTACCGAGCCAACTGATCCAGCCTTCTCTATCAGTGCTGGTTGCAGGAAGGGTCTCCCCTCACTCTGAGCAATCACACCCCTGTGCAGCACCCCAGGTACTGCTCAGCTTCAGGTGATTCTCAGCTCCCTTTTATATCCCTGCCTTCCTGATGGCCTGGCTGGCCTAGCACCCGTGTCGGTGTACCAGGCAGCCAGGCATGAGGGGTGGCCCCGCTGGGCACTGCGGGGCTGAGGAGTAAGCTGCCTCCTGAGGGGTCTTGCTATGACCTGCAGCCACCCTGCCCCTGTAATTCTGCTGTGTGCTGAGTCTCCATCTGCTCTGTTGATGGCAGCAGAAGCCAGCAGAGAAACAAGGCATTGGCCTGTCCCTGGTACTCCCCTCCCCACCTCAGATTGTCTTTTGTCCCATCCGAGTGCAGGATGGGGGGGGGGGCTGCTGGTTCTCACCCTCTGCCATCACATTAGGGCTGATGGAGGTCCTGCCCGACGACTGTGTCCAGGTGGGCAAGAAAGAGCTGATGTACGCCGGCACTGTGGGGCTCGTCATCTACCTCGGTGGTGTCATCTTCATCAACAGGAAGAGCACCACCAGCGCCAAGATGGTGATGGCAGAGGTGGCCAAGACTATGGCAACTGACAATGTGAGTGTGACTGGCACCTGGTGGGATGGCATGTGTCTGGGTATCCTGGGGTGGCATGGGGGGATGTGGCACTCCTGACTCTGGCTTGCCTGAAGTTACAGCCACCTGCAGCTCTTGGCAAGGCTGCCAAGGGAGGGGGGGGAAGGGAGCACTGCAAGTGGATTGCTGGAGCAGAGCCTTATCTCACCATGTGCAGGTGAAGGTGTGGGTGTACCCAGAGGGCACAAGGAACTGCACAGGAGATTTGCTGCCGTTCAAGAAAGGAGCATTTCACGTTGCTGTCCAGGCACAGGTAACAGAACTTTGCTGCTGCGTGGGGACTCTGAATGCTTTTGCAGTGGCACTGCAGACTGGTCATGCAGTGGTATGGTTTATTAGCTCTCAGGTGAGCTGTGTTCCCTGGTCACAGCTGAGCTCCTCAGCTAAACCACCATTAGGTGTCATAAGGGCTGCCCAGCAGGAGCTGGGAGACTTTTCCATCCCCTGCAGGAGCGACTTGATCCCTGTGGACGGGGGGGCTGCAGGCAGCGGAGAAGCTGCCTTGTCCTCTCTCCTGACTGCCCCGGCACTGCAGTCCCAGTGTCCCATCTGGAGGGCAGAGCATGGGGGACAGGCACACTTGACCCCTAGCTCTAAGCTTTGCAGGCAGCTGCCTGGCAGCGTGGCGGTGCGGTGTCTGTGCCCTGCTCCTGGGAGCACGGCTGCAGCACAGAGCTTGCTTCTGGCAGGGAGCCCAGCAGGTGCTGCCCTTTGTGAGCTTGCCTGGGGAATCCCAAAGCTGTTGATGGATTTCTCAATCCCCCAGGGTTGCAACAGTGTAGTGTTGATCCAGGATTGTTAATACTAGTGCTTTAGAGCAACATCCGGGCTTGCTCTGTGTGGGAATAACTGCTCCCTCCCAGACAGCCATGTGGAACTTCTTGGTATGTCTTAAATGCCTTCTCTCTCCAAAATGACAAGATCCATGAGCAGCTAGTGGGGGAGCAGACAAACAGCTCCTTGGCTTTGGACAGCTAGAGAGGTCAGTGCTCCTGAAGGAGCAGTGGTGCTTGCCTGGACAGAGCTCTGGGGCAGTGTGCCGGGGACATGAAGACCTGGCTGTGCTGCCTGTGCCCAGGCGGTTGCTGGAAGCTGAGCCACCCTGCTCAGCTCCCCGGTGCTGGGGACTAGGTGCCAAAGAGGCAGCTGGAAGGAGATGGGTGCCTTGCCTTCCCATGCATGCTCTGCCTTGCCTCTCGCTACTGGGATGACTCGAGGCCTGAGGGGAAACTGCTTTCCCTAAAAGAGGTGTTATAGCAGGGATCCTGGAGAAGGGAGTAGGTGCCAGATCTCTTGCTGGGTTGGATTGGCCAATGCAGGTGCATTACCTGCTGGAGTGATGCAACCAAGGCAGGGGCTGGTGGCTGCCAGAAGGAAAGGACGACAGTGGAAATGGTACCCACCTCTGCTAACACTCCCCCTGAGTCACCGACTGTAGATTGTCTGTGTTACCAGCACTGAAATAATGACTCTGTGCCTACCCTCCTGGCTGTGTCGCTGCCTGTCTGAAGCTTCCCTGGGAGCAATTGATTGCAACTGGTGACTGCTTTTCTTAGAAGCTGAAGGCACACCAGCTGGCCTGCCCCAAACATGTGCTTGTACAGCATGGCAAGGCCTGTCAAAACAGGCATCCTCCAACATTTGCAGGTCAGAAAATACCTGACTTTTGAAGCCTGGCTTGAGCTGAGGAGCCCTGAGCCAGTGCTGACCTGAAGCTGAAGTGTAACTTGGCCCTAGTGCCTTGAATGTCCCTGTGCCTGGAGTTGTTGGGGAGTGGTTTTGATCCCATTTGACTCCTGACTGTCCCAGCCTTTGGAAGTGGGTCTTGCTTCTGGGGCTGGGTGTGCCCTGTACGGCTGAGAGCCAGGTCAGCTCTGCTGCGTGGGGTTTGCTGCTTCTCTGGCCTGCCCTGAGTTGCTGCAGTGCAAGTAACTCCTCTTTTTCCTCCTCTTCCCCAAGGTCCCAGTGATCCCTGTGGTGTATTCCTCCTTCACCACCTTCTATAACCCAAAGAAGAATCTATTTACATCAGGTATCAAAGAGCCTGAGGGCCTTTACAGTCACTTGGAGACAGGGTTGATGCCATACCCATGTGGAGATCTGGTTCACAAGGGTGTGGGAGGGAAGCGGAGCTGGGGTGAACAGGAGTCGTCCCTCTGGGATATGTGTGGAGTCAGTTCAAAGCACTTGGCAGCAGAGCCTGGGCTGGGTTAACTCAGGAAAGAACGTAATTAAATACAAGAGGGATGTTTTCGTTAAAAACTGGACACCACCTCTTCCTCTCGTAAGTGGCACAGCCCAAGTCATTTGGTGAGGGCTTGGGGAAAGAAGCAAGCATGCTCTGCCTCCTGACCTCTCAAAGCAGGGACTCCTCTGCAAGCAAACCAAGGAAGCTGGTGGTATCAAAGCTCTGAAGTCTGTCAGTACAAGTGCTAGGCAGAAAGTTGGCTTTCGGTCAACTTGGAGCAGTACCTCTCATTTTTGGGAGGAAGCCACACTTGCCATGCTCGCTGCGTGGATGGCTGGAGCCAGCCAAAGGTAGGAGGGTTGGGCAGAAGCAGATGGAGGGAGCACCTGGTGCAGGCTGTGCCCGACATGGCCCTGGAGCTGAGTGGGTCCATGGCCCTGGGCTCCCCCTACTCTCTTGGCCAGCAGGTGGGGGCAGAGCAGCAACACCAGTCTTAGAAAGGGGCAAGCTCTGGCTGGGGTGTCAGCTTGAGGCACAAGGGAAATATTCTGCTTGGCGCAGCTGTTAGAGGGCAGGGTCTAATCCCCAGAGCAATCTCTTACCCCTGAGACCAGTGCAGCCAGTGCTCTGGGGATGGATGCCTGAAGCCCTGTGAGGGGATGAGGGCTGTCTGGGGCGGGGGGAGCAGGGGTCCTGGGAGGGCAGAGAACTGTGTTCCTGTGGTGTGTGGGTTTCTCATAGGCTCTTCTCTTGTTCCCAGGCAAAATCAAGGTTGAAGTTCTGCCTCCAATAGAGACCAAAGGCCTGACATCAGACGATGTCTCCGACCTCACTGACAGATGCTTCCGCATCATGAGGGAGACCCTCTTCAGGCTGTCGGGCCGTCCAAGTGAGGCGAAGGACTCGTCCTAGATGTTTCTCCAGTGGCATCACCATGTGGTGGTGGCTGAAGGGACCTGTCTGTTGCCAAATATCCAAGGAACTTTTCTCCCTTTGCAGTGACCTCTAACTCTGGGAACACCATGGACTGGCACACACGGGGTGTCGAGCCAGCGCTGAGGTTTCACGTTGAGTGGATTTCTCTTATGGGTTCATTATCTTGCAACGAAACGTCTCCTTTTTCTGAATTTCTCAGGCATCAAACTTGTGCTACCAAAGGGCTCAATGACCAGAGAGGTGAGTTCCCCCAGCTCAGGCAGGTGGTGTGGGATGACAACGAAAACCTGGCTGGAGGCTGGGCTCTGCCTCATGTGAGCATCCCTGCACCTGCGTTCCTGCAGGCTCAGCTAGTGCTGGCCTGGCCCTGTGCTGTCCCAGATGGAAACCACCAGGTAGCAGTTTGTATCTGCACAACCTTGATGCTGCTCAAACAGGGCTGAGAATCGGGTGAAAATCCAGACTCTGGCTCTTCGGCAGCACTGGGAGTGCAGCGTCCTCCCTGGGCAGCCTGGAGCACTGCCGTCCGGCATGGTGGAGCTCACGGGCGGTCTCTGGGGCAGGGCCTGTCTCCCTGAGAGATGCCCTTGGGTCACAGCAGCATCTTGTGCTGGGGCTTTGTGTTGCCCAGGCTCTCCTGACCCAAGTCTTTCACTTCTGAAGAGAGCACCTAGAGCAAATAACCTCAGCTGCTCTGCAAAGGGGAATGTGTGGGGCCAGTCAGCCTTATAGTGTCTCTTTGGGCTTAATTGCCTTGTCTGAACAAGTGCCCTTGCTCATTGAGGGGTGCAGCAGTGGAGAGGGAAGCTGCAGCCTGACCAAGCCAATATATATGGTCTGGGCAGAGTTTAGCTGAATGCTGTCCAGCCTTGCGAGTTTAGTCATCTTCTGAATGAAACCCCACGCTTGTTTCTACCATTCAGAGCCACCAGCTTGATTTTAAAAACTGCACAGATCTGTCGGAGTCCTGGGCAAACCTGTCCTCACGTGTGACTTGTTTGTGGCACGCTTCTGGATGCCATGTGTGACATGCACCTGCGTTGGCTCAGAGCTTCCTTGGTGTTGGGGAAACTGTGCTGCCAACTCCCTGCCATGGCTCAACCTTGTCACAGTAGTGCCTGCAGTACTTGTTGCAGATGCAAAGGGCTCTGTCATGCTTGTTTTGCCACTTGTCATGGTCAGCAGTGGCCGAAAGATGGTGCCTGTCCCTTGTGTCTTTGTGCAGATCTCAGCGGAGCTGCTGCTCTGCAAGGCTTGTAAAAACTCCTGCAGAGCCGCAGGGTGGGTGAGATGCAACTGTAATGGAGCTTGGAAGGCTTTGGCTCTCCCTTTGGGGGGAAATGGGCTCCTTCCCCCGTTCAGAGAAAGGGGTTTCCCCTGTGCTTTGGGGTGATGGACCAGCAGGGGTCCTGGATCCTTCGCTGGGAGCTGCAGAAGTGTTGACCTCTGCGAAGAGCAAGACTGGGTCAGATCCATGGTTCCAGGGGGTTGCCTTCACCTCCAAGTCGGGTTCAGGGAGGCTTTTAGCTCTCCTGTTCGTGGTGCAGGGTGTATAACCTTGAGATAAGCCACCTGGGGCTACCTGGGTAACAGACACAGCCGGCTTTTGCAGCCTGTCTGGCACTGCGTTGGTGGAATTGCAGTTATGTGGCATTTTGGGGTTAAAGCCTCAACTGGGGAAGGCAGGGAGTTCCTGTAGAGCCAGCGGTCCCCAAGGGAGGGAGCCCGTGGGCTGAGCTGGTGCTAGCGGGTGCCGGGGGCTTTATCAGAGGGGCCTTACAGTACAGACTCAGGGGTCAGACCCGCCTTGGGACAGGTCGGGGTGGGAGGATGGGAACCGAACCAGCACTTTGTAAGAGCAGCAGATAAAGGGCTGTCATGGAGGTTAAACCCAGGAGGGTCCCGGGAGGGCTCTTGCGGGGGATAACCACATCCACGGAGTGACTCCTGCAGCATCCTTCCCTGGGAGGAGAGAGCGGTGCCTCTGTGTGCAGTTATCTGCTGTTCACTTTTAATTGGGTTAAGAATAATGTTATGTGCTTTAAAAAAAAAAATACACCTTTGGTTATTTAAATAAAGGAGACTCCTGGTCTTGTGTGGGAGCTGAGGGAGGAGGCTTGCTGTGGGAGAAAGAAGGGTGCTGACCCTTCAGCTCTTGCAGGGGGTGGGTTGGTGATTGAGGGAGAATGGCAGGTCCTTGTCCCCACCCTGCGTCCCACAGGCAGAAAGGCTGTGCTTCTGCACCCCAGCCTCACCCAGGCTAGTTCAGCCCCAGCCTGGCCTGAACTAGGAGGACAAATGCCTGCGGGGACCTGTCCCAGGGGAAGAGGAAGATGGGATGTGTGGATGGGAGCCCATGTCAAAGCAGGGCCCTGGAACAAGCGCCTTCCCAGCCAGTAATGATCCCACGGCCTCGGTATGTGCAGCAGGAGGCTTTATTTTGGTACAACCCCTGCAGCACCCTGTTGCCTACAGGGCTCCTCCTGCAGCTCCACTCTAGGCAAGTAGGGAAGTGTTGTACCAGGTCCGTCACGTCTGCTCTGCTGTACCGGTGTCCTTGGGCTTGAGCAAACGGTGCTGGGGGGGAGGTAGGTGCATGCGCAGCGGCTGTTGGATCTGGGAGACCAGCTA